ATGGCCCCCGAGGTCCTCAGAAAGTATTTAACGTCGCAAACAGGGCGACAATCACAGCCAATGGAAGGTACCCCGCCGGTATTTATTTATAGACGTCCGGTGCCCGTCTCCCCTGTAGGGCTAGCCTGCCCCTTATGACCCATCTACAGCGCAGCAGGCAGACAAAGGACAAAGCAGCAAAGCACGCGTGCTCTACTCCCGGTGGGTTGGCATGGTGACCGTGACCCAGTGCTTCGTCCAGGGCCCTTCAGGTGGCAACGCCCTCTCCTTCCAGATGCTCCACGTGAACAATGCCGACTCTCAAGACTGAGCGCACTCGACTCCTCACATAAGAGGACTCTCAGGACAGAACACACATCCTCACGGTAAGAAGTGTCGAAGAGGGTAGATAAGATTAAGAGCAACGTACCTCAAAATAGCTGCCCCAACCACAGATATTCTCACCAGATGACCAATCACTGTCTCGACACAACCAGCATTACACCGCCGTTCCACCTCAGCATCAATCGCACATCAGATAGTTCTCATCACACTGCGAAACAACCAATATCACCTCACAACCTTCCTGGCGATACCCCTCTCCGCCTGGGTCGCCTGCTTGCCTTCGCCCTCCTCACTGCACACATCCCACGGTCGCTCACCCAGCTAACCGCGTGCATGCACCGCAAAAGCAGAAGACAAGCGCCAGATTAGTGCAACGTACCACAGCTCGGATACCGAAATGCAAGGAAAATGAGCGATAGCGAATTCCAGAAAACCAAGCAGCATCATACACATGAAACCAGATAGTCTTGACCTCGAACCAAAAGCAGAATTGCTACTTGAGTTTCACCAAATAAGAGCACAGCAAAAGCTGACAACTGACAATGCTGGAATAGTCTCATCATCGTCAACAATGAACCAATGTCGAATTCCTACCTGGCACTCAGCCCCCAGACTACGAATGGCAGATCCTATCTAGCCTATCTACAATGCCGCTGGTGACGTCAACAGCTCCCCGAAGTACAAGCAGATCTCGGCCAATGCCGTTCGCCTCAAGCACCAGGTATGTCTCACGCTTCACTCACAACCTCGATCCCCCACACAGATGCCACGTGCACCCAAAGACCACCATGCGCCCCATCCAGCATCTCGCAGGCCAGCTCGGCTATGGCTGCCTGCGTGTGCCCTGCTCGCCCGTGAGCGAGTGGGCGCTTGCCTGCCGATAATGCAGCAGCACTTGCGCAGCATGTAGCAAGTGCCCGAATGCCAAATGCGGAGGCAGGCACTTTCCTTTATGGAAGTGGCCTGCCTGCTGCATGCTGCCTGGCTACGCTGGGCCCCTGCCCAGAAGCTTCCGGTAGGCCCCAAGTGGCTGAGCGCCTGTCCCAGAGAATCTTCCACAGGGCCTGGGGCGGTTACCCATGTCCAACTGCCAGCGGCCTGTGTTCGGCTTATGCCCCGTGTCTGGCCCAGGGCCTGCCTCGATCGATTTGGAGAAAGGCAGGCAGGGCCTGGACTTACTCAACCAACTGGCGCTGCACAACTGCCTGAATTTCCCAGCTGCATCAATACCCAGAAATAGGCCTCTCGTCACTTATCAGGCCCGCCTTCACTTGGGGCGGCCGTACTTGCTGAAACAGGGCCCAGTAGGGCTCACCGAGGCCTTGAGCCTCGCAAAATTCTTTAGCAAATTGAAATTTTAAAAAATGTTTTTTTTTTGTTTTTTTTTTTGAATGGGAAGGATCCTACTCCATCCATTATGGAGAACGCAAATGTGAGAAAAAAATGAAAAAAAAAAAAGAACTTTATAACATGGTAACCG